TCCATGTCAAGAATAGGCAATTAGACTATGTAACATCCACCATTTTCTTGGCAGTGCTTTTCGTTTTCTTTGACTAATTTTTCTGTTTTTATGGAAAAAATGAGTTCATTCAAATTTTATGTCCGTCCTGCTTACCACTTGAGAACAAACTGACGCACCCGCTAATGGCGATGTTTGCGTCATTAAAAGAAGCCAAACGTTTGTGAGGGTTTGGAAATTGCGACAAGCGCGACTTACTAGTGAAACACAGCTGAGATATTTGAAAAGGTCAGTCGGAAGAAGTTAGAGGTTTTAGTATCCAGATTGATCTGTAATGGTAGATTAATAATATTGTGTGAGTGAAGCGAACTTTGGCGCGAAGTGTATAAGTGTATAGCAACAGGAACAGCTTGAGCCATTACTTATATTTGGGAACCGGGAAGTCTCGGCAGCTCGGTGGTTAGTGCGTCGAGCTAGCAACCCCGGGCTGGCCGGTTCGAATCTTAACCTCGGAAGTTAAGTTCGTACCATAGATGTTGTTGTGCTGTCTATAGCACGCACGCGGGTGCTGGTGCATTATTAACGATAGGTGCATCTTATCGCTGAAGCTGATTTTATTATATCAGTTACCAGTAGATGGCTCGTGTTGGTACTATGAGGCCGGAAAAAGGGTTAAATGAGGTGGCCTAGTTGCCAGGCTACTGGGTACCGAAAAGGAAGAGAGCAGTGAAACACATCGCACGCCCACGTTAGCGCGCCATCTTTTCGAATTGACAAAGTTGGTGCGCGGGTATCCCGATATATTCAAGAGAATGCCGCGTTAGGATGTGCATGCAATGTGTTTTGCTGTTCTCTTCCTTTCTGACTCCCGAGTGGTGTAAGCAAGAAACAGATTGTACTTGGGACAATGAAGTTCATTCACTCAGTAGTGTTTTGGTAACCGTACGACTCGATCAAGCCTGACCCGAAGAATATCACAGCTCTAACAATGTCAAACAAGAAATATCCACCGCACTTACGTCCCACTATCACTGAAGTATTAACGAAGATTGACATTCTATGCAAGGATTCCACAAACATAACAGATCCTATGGAAATGGACATGTTTGCTTTCCAGCTCTGTAACCACGACAGCCGCAGACTGCGTTGTTTCGTGCTCATTAGCAACTCGTCATTGCGTTACAGGTCTAGCAGTCGTGGAGATTGATCCAATTGAAGCAAGTAAATGAATATGGTCGTTTGAAAAATTCAAAATACTATGACGAGGTAGGTATAAAATATTCCTTTACCGCACTGGTTAGTTGCTAATGAGTACGGAACGCGGTCGTGATCGAATGTTTTGATGTGATCAAGATTAAATTAGCAAACCATAGGTAGGTGGAGACCATCAGTCGCACACCATAACAGATCCTATTCACCCAGACTCCATTTTCATTAATAAAGGAGATTGGTCATTCTTGAACTTGAAACTAAAGATCCACTCCTTTGGTAGATATGAATATGGCTTGATGTGCAACTCCTACAATTTTATGGATTTAAAGTACTGAACACTGGTACAGTTCAACAATAGCACCGTGGCACAGAATATGACACGTACACGTACCCCACTCCCCAATACATAATATACAGTACCTGATATTATGCGCTGGAGCTTAAGCGCTTACAGAAACTACCGAACGAAGAAGTACGCTAGTTCGCAGATGAGGTGCGGGAAGTGTCTACGACCCAACAATTATATAACACACACGGATATTTCAAGAGGCATGAAAATAGAAAGAAATAAAACACTTAAAAAAAGCAAAGAAAAGAGAAACGAGCTTCCTGGACAGAATACCGAGTCATGGGAAGTATGAGTTAATTTGATTGGTTATACAAGGGAAGGAGGAAGGAAGAAGATCGGAAAGTTGCCGGACGTTCTGTGTGATAAACCGAAAACTGTGCAGTAGCCAAAAGTAGCAATAAGATCATGATCGTGAATGCCCTTCAAGGATATCCACTCTGAGGAGTTTAGTAGTTTTAAAAATATAGGCGCAAGACAACCTTACATCGAATTAACAATCTAGAGTAAACTTGCAGATTCAGTAAGATTTTGTGCTTGAGGCAAACGGTAATAACATGTTCATTATGCTAACTCAAGTTAAAACTTTAATCCGCCGTGCTTATCTGGCCAATAAAATCGCATGTATTGACTGAATCTTCTATACTGAAAAAGTATCCACAAATGTGATCTTTTGTACTGTTATCGCTCTCATCTGGAATTCAGATATTATCATTGTGTATACGGATGAGATTCAGATGTTGCATGAGTTTAGCTTTGGTCGCCTCCATTAAAAATGATAGTACAAAAGTAGCAGTCCCTGTCCTGCAGTGCCGCTAGCATCGAACAGAAAAACAGGTGCCATGATGAATCTAATTCCTAGGGCGTGAACGTTGACAATGTGGGATGGAAAGAAGAAATAATTGCCTACTATGTATACTTTACAACTGAAATGGAGGTCAGTCAACTTTCATAAAACTTTTATTGGAGAAGACTCACATAGATGACCAATCTGTCACATCTCCTCGAAAGTCTTACTAACATCAAGGACAACGACATGATTTCAGACTCGTCAATTGACTGTATGTCACGCCTTTTTTATAAACAAGAGGAAATGGAGGTGTGATTCCTCTATTTCTTTTTCAATTCATAAATCAAAAAAACACGATAAGTGAAGTCAGGGTCAGTCCATGCAAAACAGCCGTCTAGTGGCGTGCAAATTAAGGCCCTAGCACAATAAAGCGGAGAGCATGGGGGGTTAAGAGCATCAATAACTTGTGACAGATTAAACCACAAATCCCCGAGATGTTAGTCGAAACTTGTTTTGCTTGAGCACCAGACAAGATAAAAGAATCTAACAGCAATGACAAAACCTAATTAATTGCACACATAGAGCCAAATAAAACAAGATATTTAAAAAAATCTGAATATAATATCTAATCAAAAAGTACATATGCTCCACCACTGGAGTGCAAGTTAAAAAAGAAAAAGATATTATTTCTAAGCTGCCGCACAATAAAATTATTAGACCATGATAATCAACCCTGCAAAATGTTTAACATGGTCAACGTATGAAAGCTTTACAAATATTTTAACGCCTAAGCCTAAGCTGATCTCGACAGTGGTCTTCTTCCAGTTACGGCACTAGGCGTAGCCGAGATGTCCTCAGCTCACAAGCGCTCGGGTCAAAAACCAATGGCCAGCAGTGGACAGTGTCGTGAGGAACGTCACAAGGTCCCCTACCTGCGTGCGTCGTTCTCAAAATTTACGGTATAAAAAACCCTAGAGAGAGAAAGACTGTTAAAAAATCTCCTCTCCACTCTCTGTATGAGACAAAACTACTTATTGAAAACACTCGATCTTGAAGACAAACCACGTACATTCTCTTTTACAAGAAAAGTGAAGCAAAGGCAAAATAACATAAAAATGTACTAAAGCGATATACCCTCAGAAAGTTATCCCTTGTTCTAAAATAAAGTTATGTAAGAATGTAAAATGCCAAACAAAATTAAGAACACTCTAAGTGTTTCAGTCAGCAATAATCAATATATAAATATCTAAAAAATATCCAATTAAAATGATATTTTAAGTGTTGACATCAGGGTTTTTTGTCAATGGGAAGGGGGGGGGGGGGCTTCCAGCAAAATCGACTGCGAAACGGCTACAAGGCAGTTGCAAAACAAAGCTGGACGAGTGTGAATGGTGGTTCTCCGCAATGCCTTCCCGCTGAAAGGAATCAGATTTTGCACAAACTTCTTCAGGAAATGCATTAATGCACGAGGTCCGATAGTATAAAAAAGAACTTACCGCTGAAGGTTAAAATTTCATCAGAAAATGGACGGCGTAGCACCCAAACCAACTAAACATAAATGACAAAATAAAAGGTGCTACTCCATAAAATGCTGTTTGGATCCCAAAATCTGGAAATTAACAAAACGACACTCACACCACAAACTCCACAGGAAAGTAAATGACGCAGAACACCTAACTTCTCAAAAGAAGGTTAAATGAGTGGCAGTGGACAAGGTGTGTTCGATAGGAAACCAAAAGGAATGGAGAAGAACCGGTAAAAAAAGGTATCTTGATAGTTAAAGAAGGTAACTTGATAGGAAACCAAATATTCTTATATAGGTTAGTACGTACTCCTGTACGTCCCTACCATAGAGTAGCGCTGATTGCCAACGGGCGGAACCAACTCTACGAGGGACCAACGATATTTTTTTAGAGGAAATTTCTGAGATAGTCGTTAATGAAACTCTATATCATTAGTGTCCAAAAGAATTCAACACAATACTGAGTCGCTGAGAAAGTAAGACATAATACGTGTGAAATTAGACAATCAATAAACTATGAAATTAACCAAAAGAAAATCATTAAAAAGGATTAGCCTAGGAATCGGCACTCTACCATTAATAAAGAGAAACTCAAATTACTAGTGATAAAAATAGTATAAAAGGTTACGTGATTTTGGCACGTTACATAATTATGGAAGATCCACAGCTGATTAATGAGATCGATAACCATCCTGCCTGCAGCAATGCTTGATTAGCATTAGCATTAGGTACAACTAACTAGACAGAATATATCTTTGCGTTTCCTTTTGCTTCTATATGGACATGGTGGGGTAAGGAAAAGCTGATCATCGATGAAAAACTGGCAATAGCTTACCCTTTAGTAAAAGCTATAAATGTATTGACCCATTAAATGTATAAGATGAATCGTTTTTTATTAGAAACGTGATTTTTGCAGATTGTATCATACGCAAAGAGCTACTAGAAAGGATGTAGATGGGCTGTCAGCAAATAATAATTTATAATAGAGATTAAGGATTTCTATATTAGGAAGAATGCAAGAAAACATATTTCAGGATTATTTCATAGGATTTATAGCCTTTTTTATTAACATCCGAGAAAGGTTGTACATATTGTTTATCAGGCACGTACCTGTGACTATATGTGAAAGATATGAGATTAAATTACACCTTTCACATATCCATGCCTCACTGTGTAGAATTTGAATAATTCTAATGCCTACCATAAATGTTCCATATAGAAAAATATTGATTTACGTCTACCAGCTACCGTTTGTCTTCTGGAATATCTATTCAGTATACTTATTATACGTGTATATACCGGTATACATGAGCATATGGTATACAAAGTACAGAGCTGGAGACCTAAGTCGAATAACACACGATCTGTGTTCATTTATTATGATTTCCACGTAACCTAACATACCAATACTACCTGACATCCTGGCTACATAGTCAATACATATCAAAATTCTATGATAACTGCTGATGGATTACAGTAAATGCCAGTCATGTGACCTTCATCTTACGGGTACTGAGTTTTAGCCAGCCGTGTAAATTGTTACAAATCGTTAAATGGTGTGAGCTGACTGTTCAAACATATCGATATTCCAACATCCAACATTTGTTTTATAAACAACGATGGCATCCAAGCTGTTCAAATAAACGCTTTCCGACTGATCAACGACACTTCTATAACGGACAGTCTCGGGACCCTTTCGTACCGATGGGCGGTCGGCGACCTTGCTCTCTTCTACCGCGATGGTAGTATATAGGTTTCTGCCTACTGGGCCGCACGGGCATATAAAAAGAAGTTATATTATTGTAGTTATTCATATTAGAACTATGAACATACAAATGTATGTACTTGTGTATGCTATTTGACAAAAATTGCACAGATAAAACATTAGTACAAAGCCTCAGCGTGTATCGCTTTCTACAACCGTTTAGTCCGACGTCTTTACGACCTATTGATATGATGGCAAGCACATTGTAAATCAGTTTGTTAATTTCAACTTGGTCGTTTATGGGAGATAATTATGCACTATGCTTTTATGATCAACGCTACATCGTCGCCATTATACTTAGTAAAACAAAAGATTTTATTTGGTCTTTGTTTCGTCTTATGTTATGTGATTTGTAGATATAAAATTGCCAGCTTGATGAATGAGTTAGTTTAGCTGCCCAACAATCAAATATAACTATCATTTAAACCACTATTAAAACTCTTCCAAAGAATGTAATTTATTTATTTATTTATTTATTTATTTATTTATTTATTTCCAACAGGTGAAACCCAATTACAGGAAACGCTGAAAAAATAGCAATTAAAGAGACATGGTTCTTGGACTTAAATCTATAGTCTCACACATTCTAAATAAGATTGGATGATCTATAACAGTTAATAATCGTTGCACAACTGTCACTGTAAATATCACACGATTCAGTAACACTGTTCATGACGCAGCACATGAAATTAATTGGCGATTTTGTCATAACATTTGTACGGCCAGCTTGACAATAGAATGCCATTTGTTGTCGACTCCCTAGCCTTGGAACGCGGAAACATATTTTTTCAAGTAAATTTTGACAGTCAATTTTGTTGTGAATGAGGCCATACAAAAACGACAAAGCAAATATGTTTCGTCTTGTTGACAGTGAATCCAAATTGAAAGACTCTAATAGGGCACTATGGTCACAACCTCTTTCTGGATAAGAACCTGTGCATTTAAGGTGAAAATACTTTACAGCTTTACGTTGAATGGCCTCAAGGATCACGACAGAATTTTGGTATATAGGAGACCAGATCAGAGTTGCATACTCCAACTTGCTCCTGACAAGAGTAAAAAATAAAGTTATTAATGTATCAACATTGGAGAAACCCTTCCAGTTTCTGATACAGAAACCAAGTAGTCGAGTGGCAGCCGACGAGATATTGAGTATGTGCTCAGTAAACGTTAGCTTGGTATCAAATATGACTCCAAGGTCTCTATAAGAGGTGCATCTGTCTATAACCTGACCATTGATGTTATAATTATCATAAATTAAATAGTTCACTTTTCTTGTATAAGTCATAACTTTACATTTCGAAACATTCAGACTGAGACAGTTTCGTAAACACCATGACGAAATTAGAGCTAAGTCATCTTGCAACATGACGCAATCCTCGACTGTCTTGACTGACGTGCAGATTTTGAGGTCATCAGCGAAAAACAAATGGAAACACTTCAGTTCAAAAGACAAGTCATTAATAAATATTAAAAACAATAATGGACCTAGATTTGAACCTTGAGGTACCCCAGACGTGGCCCGATAGTAACTCGACCTATGACCACCATATTCGACAAATAACCTTCTATCCCTCAAATATGAATTCATGAGCGACAGCATTGCATCAGACATACCCACTGTTTTAAGCTTATCCAGAAGTGCATAATGATCAACTTGATCAAAAGCCTTCTGAATATCTGTGTAGATGACATCAACTTGTCCCTGACCGTCCAGTACTTCAGAAATGTATTGAGTAATTAGAGCCAAGTTGGTGACCGTAGATCTGCCTCTCATAAACCCATGCTGATTAATAGAGACTGCACCCCTGACCGAGCAGTAAACCGTTTCATAAGCGATGATCTCAAACAACTTGCTGAAATTGCACAGGATTGCTATTTGGCGATAGTTGGAAATATCAGAGATATCTCCACTTTTGTGAATAGGACATATTTTAGAGGTCTTCCAGATATTTGGATATGTCTCTGATTTTAGAATTAAGTTGAATATGGAAGCCAGCGGTTTCGCTAGTATATGAATGCAATCTTTAACGAAAAAACTTGGAATACCATCACATCCAGACGTCATTTTGTTCTTTAATCTTTTCGAAGCCCTAATTACGTTTTCTTCACTTATATTTTTTAAAGAAATGATATCGGTAGAATTATTTGTTGGAGGAGATGACCCTAGTACACCAGACGGGATAAAAACTGTTGAAAAGAAGGTAGCAAAACTGTCCACTATATCCTGAGGCGTATCGCAGACATTGCCGTTAAGCGTCATCCTGGGGGGGATTCTAGATTGCTGTTTTTTGATCTGGGCAAATGACCAGAATTTGCTAGGATCATTGACAATGGCATCCTCAGCCGATTGGACGTAAGCGGAGTAGGCAACACTGATCTGGTTCTTAATGAGCTTCCTAAAATTACTGAACTGATCATAAGAAAACTTAGTACCGTCACGTTTCCAGTTCCTTCTTGCTATGTCCTTCTTCTTGATATTAAGTATAATTTCACGTGTGAACCATGGGGGATACGAAAACATTTTATTTTTACATTTAGGGACATGGACCTCAAAGATGTTATTGATAACTGAATACAAGGCGGTACAAGCGACATCAACATTAACTGCACTGATCACCTCCATCCAATTAACATCTTGCAAGGCTGTGTACATTTCAGGAAAGTTAGCTTTGTGAAAGTTAAACCGTGGAGAATTAGCAAATGGGAATTTCGTTGGAGATCCGGATGTAATGAATTCCATGATCAGTGCAGGATGATGAACGTCCTCTTTAACAGAAGGTGTATTATCTCTGAGGACTTCTATTTCGATATTTCCTAAAATTAAATCCAGAATTCGACCATTTATATTTGGAATATTATTAAAGTTAGTTAAATCTAAAAACGAAATAAAGTTGCTCATTAATTGAGACTTCTGATCATTAACGTCACTGTTGAATGATGCGACATTAAAGTCACCAGCAACAATTATTTTACAATTACTGAAGGCATTGTTAAATACTTCTAAAGCTTCAAGGTACTGACTAAACATGTCCAAATTAATTGAAGGCGGAATATAAATAGAAAAGATAACAAAATGCTCATGGTTAATAATAAGCCTAATACATACAGTATCAATCGACGGAAAGTTTCGACTCAAAGCACTAGCGTCAATTCTAATTGCATGGAAATCGCGTTTTACGGCTATCAGGACTCCTCCGCCGGAAACTAGGCCAGATCGAATAAAGTCACGATCACACCTGAACACACAGTATTCAGCCGGAAATAATTCACTATCACTCACATTCACAGACAGCCACGTCTCAGTCAAGCAAATTAAATCAAATTCGTAATCACTGACTGCATTGAAGAATGACACCGTCTTAGAATTGAGACCACGAACGTTCTGGTAAGAACACCTTAGCTTAAGTCTCTCATGACAATTTGGTCTATTATTGGGTTCAGTTATGCGTTTAAAGTAACAATCTTCGGAACCCCATTGAAATATTTAATTCTGAGGTTACTTTCACCTTGCGCGATCCTTTCATTCAGTTTGCTCTTTAAGTAGCGATAGAGCTCCATCTGTTTTGGAGTTTTATCAAAAGCAACCGATGTATTTTTATATTTTTCATTGTTTTTCAGGATATTAGTCTTCTTGATTATAGTATGAACCATCTCCTCTGAGTGAAAGATTGCCTTTACTGGCCTGGTCGAGCCTTGTCTAAATTTTCCAATGCGCAGAACCTTAACGCCCAGATTAGTAAAATTACCATCGACAGCCCCAAGCAAATCTTTAACAACAGCTTGATCAGAAGCCAGTCTTTCCTTTCCATCAGTACCTGTCGGTTCCGGCAAGCCAAATATCATCAAATTCTTTTTACGCTTTTCTCTTTCATGAACTTCCTGAACAACCTCCTCAAGCACAGAGGAATCAGATGAGTTTGAACTATTGGTAGCCTTAAGCTCACTAATTTTATTCTCCAAAGCAGACATTTTCGTAGCGAAATCGTTCTTAAGGGTCTCCAATAAGCTCTTCAAATCACCTAGTTCGCCCATAAACTTACTACAGTTGTTGCATAAAAATTTGACTGACTTGGACTTACTACGAGTAACCCTTACCTCATCAGCACTGAGACCTACACAAGTGAGGTGTACATCCTTATTACAACCATCACACGATATTGACGATCCCTGACGGGACGTATTCATCAAACAGTTAGGGCACTTGAAGGTACTCATGTTTGAAGAATTCCAGCAAAAGACGGCAACGTCGAGATGGTACGACTCTGCAGGTGCAGTGCCAGGTATAGCACAATAAAACACCGAATAACAGACTGCAAACAGTCCCAGTCACACACTAGATGTTAACTATGACGATGATGCACTTTCAGAAAATTACATTCACTCTATTCCACATTTATAGGCTCTATAAACAAACACTGTGATGATCAACTTACAATGTTGCCAACTGTAATTTCTGAAAGGAAGGAGCTGATGATCGCAACAGAAACGCTGCTGTCATCTTCTCCGTTGGATCAGAACCAGCTTGCTTTTCTTATAAGCTTGCAGGAACTAGGAATGGTGTCAAGTAGGCTAGCTCAGTACTTTCCACGCAATGCTGTTCATGGAAGAATGTATTAGGCAGAAGTTGTCCTCTCTTAGAAATAATTAATGTCCAAAAACAAAAGCTATATTCTCTTAGTTATAGGAAAGGCCAATGATATAACATCGAAAGAACATAACGTCTCATTTTCGGAACTTTGCGTCATTACATTTGGCGTTAGAAGCAAAAATGTAAAGCAAAGATAATGGGGAATATTGAATCTAAGATGTATTAATAAACGTATTGAGATCACTTATAACATAGCAGAAGCACTTTGAACAGAAAATAGGTAGATAACGCCTTTGGGCTTCAACTGTTCGCTGTGCACAGTGAGAAGAGTCTTCTCTTATTTTTGAATATTGTAGTGTTGAAAGCGGAACCTCAACATCAAATTACCACAACTGTTACAAAGAGGATAAATATCTTGTCGATCAGATTTTCCAACTGTCTGTAGTTAGTAAGCCAAAAAAGCGTCATCGAGGAGATGCAAAGTATTGAAATGTTGTTCCAGAAACTTCCGTATTGCCTATAAGGCTTTTGATGCACCACCTTCCTATTGATATAGAATGTTCTTCCGGTTGGTTGAGTTGCAGTTTTTTTTATTTCCTCTAGGATCGGCTGCCGAACTGTTTTCATTCCCACAATTGAATTACTGTAAACATTTTGATTCATTGGTATGAAGGCCGCTTCCTTGAATTTCCTCCGACCTCATTGTGTTGCTCTCTACAATATTTTATATCCTTTTACCCTTAATGGAGGCAGCCTTTTTATTTCTCTTATGTATATTTCTCCACATTCACATGGTATACACAATCCTTGGTGCTCTGGTTTTTGTTCATAGGTTTTGTCTTTATGAGGAAACTGCGGTGTTCTTTGAAAATCGTTTTTTGATTTGGTATCGTCTTCCTATTCTTCTGACTTCATCACCTGTCCTTCAACATAATGGTAGATTAAGTGTATGCTAGAGTTCATTCCACGTGTTTCTGGTATTGTTTGTGTTCTTTTACTTCAAAACTTCATCGACTTGGATAGCCATCTTTTTTATGCGGTTGATTTCTTTCTTGAGGTTTGTTTGCCTGCTACCGATGTTCTTTGAACGGCCGGTGAGTGTTCTAATTGCCGCATTTATTCGTAGTTCTTGGATGACTGGAAAAGAAATTTAGGTATTGTCGTATGTGTTATAGTACATAGTGGTGTCTATTCTGGAGTTGTCTCTTGCTACCACGACGTCCAAGAATGGGAGGCTGTTATTATTCCCTACTTCACTTGTAAACCTTATCGATGGTCTTAAATTGCTTAGGTGTTCAAAGCCGGCTTGTAGTTTCTCTTCTCCATGATTCCAGATTATGAAGGTGTCATCCACATATCGACGCCGGCTTAACATTTGAGGTTTTTACTGGGGATTACCTTGAACCACTGCATGAATAAGTTGGTCATTACTGGTAATTGCGGCGATCTGATTGGCATAAACTAGTCTTTTACGTAGAGGTAGTTGTGTTTTAGGGAGAACGTGAGTTCTATTAACCTTTGTCTTTCTCAATTTCTGGTCTGCGGCTGGATTACTTGTAAAGCTTCATCTAACAATTAATTAAAAACTCTGTTGAGCAGAAAAACTTAAAATACATACAAAATACTTCTTGGCCTTCGAAGGATGTCATCTCCAATTAGCAATTGATTCCGCATGACCTTTACATAACATTTTTAAAACACATCAGCTTTCAGAAGCGGAAGATGATATCCAGCTAAAGGAGCCTCTGCCGCCCCAATTTGCGGCTTGCGGCTGTGTCCTGTCCGTACCAGTCTTCCTAACCACCCTTTTAAAGGGATAATTGTTACAGAGGAGTGGTAAGGGAATGCTATTAAATTTCCGCTGGATAAACCTTAAGTCGCTGAAAAATTAGTGACTGCGACAGGAGCAGTCTCACCAGAGACACTCACACAGACTAGAACGAGGATTATATCTGGTCCGGTTTTGAAGTTATCTAACAATTATTACCTGACTATTAATCTACTAAATACGGGTGTATTTGTCTGCAGAGAGCTATTCCTGGATGCCACCCACGCAAAAGTTTGGCATGTATTAGTAAAATAAGCGCTCTACCTCCAAAAAAGTAATTCGAGGTAATTATATATATATATATATATATCTTTGAATTTCATTGGGTAGAAGGCAAAGTATTGCATAAGCACACTCTTATAACTTAAACCCGAGCTTTCGAAGGTCTATGCCCTCATCGTCTGGAGCTGGAAACAATTTTTGAAAAATAGCAACAATAAACAATTAGGAGGAAAAAATATATAACTACTTACAAATTCGGCGATATTGTTGCTGAAATTGTTCTTAAGCGACAGTGAAGGGACATAGTCGACGAATAAAAAAAACTGGACCGATGAGATTCGATTAGGACGCAATTATTTTATTAATAAATGGCATATCGTAGCTATGTTTTTTAAAATCTGTAAAATGAATTTTTTCATTAAACACTGATTGATTTCCAGCTCCAGACGATGAGGGCGTAGACCTTCGAATGCTGGAGTTTAGGTTATAAGAGCGTGCTTATGCAATATTTTGCCTTCTACCCAAAAAATTCAAGGATATTTTCTCCTAACAGTTCAGGCAATTAACTATGATTACTATATATATATATATCAAATAGGACCTTCAGAGTTAAGCAAGAAGATGAGTATTCTGATCTTCTGAATATCAATGCTGGAGTACCTCACGGGAGTGTTCTAGGACTAGCACTCTTACTTCCGTATATATCAGATATCCCTGCTATGTCAGATACACCAGTCGCAGCATTTGCAGATGATACATCATAGGTTGCATTTGAAAAGATCTATTAAGTTCTGTTGGTAAAGCAGAAACTGCTACCAATAGCAAATCGAATTGAATGAATTAACATCGACCCACATCTTCCTCAAATAAGCGATATCAAAAAATGAGATAAGAACTGAACGCCCACTACAAGCACCATTATTGGTTACCGGGAAGATACTCAATGCTATCGCTAAATAACAAAATCATGATCTATAATCAGATCTAAAAACCAGGTCGCCAACTATGGGGCTGTTCCAAGAGTTCAACATCGAAATTATTCAAAGATTCCAAAATAAGGCGTGGGAAGAATAGAGTCAATCTACTTGGCACAATTTTTTTAAGGATAGAATCTTTTTTATTTTGGAAGTAGATTAAAAAATAAGGTTCGCGAAAATGCCTATTGGTTGCCATTTTCAACTGCTGCTAGTATACCTATGCAAAAGGATTTTCTAATAAAGATGACTCTTTGTGGAGACGGAAAAGAACAAGGAATGCGTGAGGTATTAACAAATTTTATATTAAGTTGGTCCGTGTATGACATTATGTATGCAAAATCACAATATTTACCGCGGTTCCGCACACTGGGAAGAAGGTTCTATTTCTAATTACTCGACCGCTTAAATATTGTCGACATTATTTGGGGATGGGTCTGTCGTGGCCATATCGTGAAATGGTCCACCATTTCATGAAATGCATCATTATATATTTGCCAGATCATGATGTGGCTTGACCAAATCAATGATAACAAATCATTTAACGATATGGTAAACTGAACGCGTGGCTACTTGACGGGATGGTCAAGCATGTTTGATCAAATCGTAAAATAATTACAGTAAATACCGATAGAGGAACCCTTTGCTTACATTTCAATACGTTAATAACAAAGTTGTTTTTAGAAGAGAAAATTCTAATAACTCGTTACCAAATGAGGAAGAACGTGAGATTAAAAGATATTACGACAAAGAGGTACTCGAATTCTCGAGTAGTATGCGGGATCAAAAAGCCGACTTCGGAACGTATTTCACAGGTTGATACTGCACTCCTAAATTACATTGTTACGAGGTCTTTTAAGTTTTGCATATGGAAATAAAACAACACGGTAGGTAGTTTCAAATGACTTTGTTATTTTTCGAAGTGTTCTCCACGAATATTAATACACATCTGCATGCGCTCGAACCAATTTTCGAAGCACTTATTCCACTCGTTTTCTGGCAGATCCAAAACGGCATTTTTGAATGCGTCAACTGCTTCTTCTGGTGACTGGAACCTTTGACCACGCTGTGTGTTGTTAATTTTCGGGAAAGTAAAGAAATCGTTAGGACTTAGATCGGGACTATATGGAAGATTGTCCAATAATTCCACGTTTTCTTTCGTTAAATACTGCCTTGTTTTTTGGGCTGTGTGCGGGCTTGCATTGTCTTGGTCGAAGATGATTCTTCCTTCGGGGTTGATTTTTCGAAGCTCGGTGATGACTTTTGGCAAACAAATGGTGGTATACCAATCCACAGTAACAGTTATTTGTTCATGAAGAGGAATTGTTGCAATATGACCCGCTTTTGACACAAATGTCGCGACCATCGTGTTCTTCACCTTGGAACACCCAAACAGCCGACTGTCGTTAATTTTCTGGTTCATAACAGTAAATCCACGATTCATCACCACTAATAATACTGTACAGATTCTTTGAGTTTCCGGTATTGAAACGGTCAAGCGTTTTTTGACACCAATTAACCCTGGCTGCTTTCTGCTCTTCAGTCAACAGGTGGGGTATCCAACGAGAAACTAATTGTCTTACTCCTAATTATTCATGTAATTTTTTTTAATTGAGGTCTTTGAGATCTTCAAGGACGCCTCAATCTCGCGATATGTCACATGTCTATCTTCAATGATGAGTTTGCGCACAGCATCGACGTTTTCCTGGATGACTGCCGTTTTTGGTGCACCCACCCTGGGATCGTCGCTAAGACGTTTGAATTGTCCATACCAACGGGAAATTGTCGACTGTTGTGGCGTTTCGTTGCCGAAAACAGACAGTAGCTCAGCAAGGCATTCTTGTTGCGATAATTGACTCTGAAAATTGTAATAAATTATGGCGCAAAAATGTTCTCGGTTGAGTTCCATTTTTCTAACGACTTGGTGACACATAAAAATTCACTGTAGTGAGAACACTGTATTGTTGTGAAACTTTGAATTTAAGTTTACTGAAGAGTGAGGTTAAGATTCAGTACTGACGTTCGATCCGCGCGGCCTACTATGTTTCTATATGCAAAACTTTAAAGACGTCCCTCGTATTCATTTATTGGAAGTCAAAATCACGTGCCAGTTAAAATATTGTGTTTTTCTATTGAACTACTATATTATTCTACGTATGTAAAACTAATTTTGGCTGAGCTATACTTCGGCGCATACCGCAAATATTCTATTTCTTATTTTAAAATGAAAGATTAGGATGCACCTTGCACTAAAATATAATTTCTTCTATTAGGAACCCTCTGCTTGCTATTTTATAGAACTTCAAAGTTGCATTCTGGTTAGTAATACTGTGGTATAGAATACTGCTCTATGAGCTGTTTTTTCTTGATAACACAAAAGACTAGTCAAAATTATATGAATATAACATACACTGTACGTATATATTACTGTGACACTGCTCATCGCAATAATGCAATTTTGCATTATTTTAATGATGAAAATAGTTCATTTCTTTTATTTCAGATAAATATTCCCATCACTACACCACCATCTAGTTGCGATGTTGCCAAATCGTGGATAGTAATTAATATACCTTAATTTGGTTTGTTAGGTTCTTACTTATATACTACCGCAAAAATGTGCAATCGGCACAGGATTGTCACGACAGTGCGATTTGGAGGTATGGCTGGCAGGTCCACCTCGAGCGCTACGTTAGCTAAAGACACTTTTTTGAAGAATGCCTTACGCCCTTCACAAAAGTACTTCGGTTATTGTTTTTCCTGTATTATAGTTATAATCTACTTACTTTTTGTATGTATGTACTTGAAGAATTATTTAAAGTGAAACTAATGTCACAAAATATACCTAATTAAATATGATATATGTATATGAGAAATAACTCAAAAAGTAGCTGTTGACAATCACTAAATAATGAAAACATAACAAAGAACATTGTCAGGTTTTTGATGATTTGATGAAATGGTCGTTGATCTTTATTTAACTAGGTATATATAATGTTGGACGATGATATGTTGGGTGGTCCTTGTGACGTGGTCCAAATCGACAAATCGAAGTTGGGTATTTTAACATGCAATGGTGCCTTTTATATTTTTTATGTAATGCGAGCCGTTGATGCATTTTCCACTTTTTCGACGCTTACTATTAAAAATTTTATGTAGTTGGGGCAACTTCTCATAAAACAAGCCATTTCCAACAAATTAAGGCTTTTATTTTGCAAATAACATCATTTTTTATTACGTATTTCTCCCAAGAAGAATACATCTTGGCAACAATGGACATCATTTATCTTATATGTCAATAATTGAACGTTATAAAATGGCCATTGAGAATTGTTTCTACTTTCAAATATTTCATATAAACGCAAAAACTTTGATCCTATTGAAAATACGCGAAAAAAATGGATAAGGGATTTCAAGATGACATTGAAAAATCACAATACAACGCCTCTACATTGTTTACTAAGTAAATACCATCATTTACGTATGTATTTTGAACTGTTGTTGTAGCTAATAAGCTAATGTGTAACAACACGGCTGGTTTTGAACATTTACTTGTAAAAAACAACATTTTTTTATAGTTTCACATCTATTTTCCTTAGTACTTGCAGTGTATGTTATATTTTTATAATTTAGATCATGGCTTTGTGCAAAAACAAAAAAAGCGTATAAAATAGTATTCTAATCTAGAGTATTTCCACCAAAAATGCAACTTTGAAGTTCTATAAAATAGCAAGCAGAGGGTTCCTTAAAGAAAAAATGACATTTTCGTAAAAGTTACATCATAATCATTCATTTTAAAATAAGACATTAAGTATTTACGATATGCGCTAAAGTATAGTCTTACCGTAATTTTCATTGCATTTTCAGGTTACGTCAAATAATTTGTGATACTGATATCTATGCTTAAAATTTTTATTTGTTACACGTTGTTCAATTTAAAAATGCTTTAATAAAATCATTTTATTTCAATTTCCTAAAGTGATTAGCTATAATAAAAAATGGTTGTCATAATTAAAGGACAATAAACGGGTTTGTAACATATTCTAAATTTTCATTAAATATCCTATGGACACCCTATTTCGTTGATCACGAAATCGTTAAACGTTAACTATTTAACGATACTGTCAAATTCAGTTGACCCTTTCATCGATCATTCCATGAAACGGTCAGTTCTACGGTATGGCCAAGACATATTCACAGTCAGTTGTCGCTTCGTCGCGCGATAATTTTGAGCCTCCCATTCTATGCTTCTATATGTTCTATGGCAAAGACGGCAGCGTAGTGTCGTTAAACGGCAATTACAGCAATTATGTTGTACTGTTGCTGTTGGGTGGATATACCAGAGCAACTGTGGCTGTGGAGGAGGAGCGATATGGATGCGACATCCTTCAGGACTTCAATGGTGTAAGGCCGTCGGTTCATGGAGAGAGGCACAAACGAGATTCGGTTCTAATTAGAATGCATCCGGCAGGCCAACATCGCGGCATGGCGCTTGTGTCCAAAGGCAGTGGCGAGGGGAACAGGCGGAAAACGGGGTTTGAAAGGTTTTGAACGAATCTCTCGAATCTATTGAAGGATTTTCAAAATTTGAAGTAATTGGAAGGTCCTCTAAAAATCACGAGTTATTCGCGCATTGCGATGAATCTAGCAGATTTTCTTTTACCTAGATTTGAGGAATTTCTATTAAGTGTAATTGTATTTCATAGTATTAAAATGTATGAAAGTAGATAGTAGTAGTAGTACCTTGCCAGGGTCGCAAGGTACGCGTAGAAGTCTTTTAGTCGTTCTACGGCCCAGTAGATGGCGCAAACGTTTGGGCATTAAGCAAGGGAAATTAGCGCTAAACACGTATTGAGCACAAACGTAATTAGAAATAAATGGGTTTTTTGCGCGGTAGTCAAGTAATTTAAATATATACTCAATGCTTGTTGAAGCATAATCATTGTATAATTTTATTTATGTTTTGAAAGAATTTATTATTATTCTTACAGTAAGGACAAAAATCACTGATCAAATTTAAGTGACTTGTTAATCACCGATAAAAAACTCGTTTTCGTAGCTTATCTCAATAGATGGATTGTTAAAAGTATATACTTTTTTGGTAAGTAGTGAGATTATCCTTAATAATGATCAGTAACGGCTGTCATATTTATATATGGTATTAGATTTGGTCCATGCTTCGAGTAGGAACCAAAATTTTCTTTTTGTTTAATCGAATTTGTGACTATAAATCAAAACCTTTTGCAATGGTGGAATTTGCATCTGGGTCAGAAATGTTGTGCTCCTTGATTCAATATTAGAAATAGAATCTTACACAAATCGTGTAATTCTTCTCTGAGACATTTTATATTCAGCAAACCTATTACTTCTAAAATGCATTCTCATTGGTCGAATTTGTGACATCTGAGTCGACCCTAAGTTTTAGAGCTGTCACGAAAAAAAAATCAAATGATTGGTTTTTGGGTAATCTACGAAAGTACCTTGATGCAGATATGAATGTACTTTGAATGAGATATAATAACCTTCTGTCTACCCTTGAGGTATTTTCTAGTGTTTCCAGGTGAGATAAAAAGCAAAAGTGTTGTATTCTTATCATATGAAGCTGTTGAGCCAACCGAGATAAGATGTTCAGAAGTTCAATTCGACCTAGCTTTCCAAATAGTCAATTTTCAATTATTAGGAGGATATTGGCTAGAGGGTTTTCAAGATCTGTGACATAAATGCCGCAGCACAGCATCATTGTTGAAGGATTATTATCAGCCGAAGCTAAACAATCAGAAAGTACATATGTTGCAGACAGAATTTTCGTTAGTGCTTGATAAATAAGAAAAACCACGACCGGCAATGCATGATTTGTCAATAGATAAGCTGGAGGGCGCGAAAAAGATTGACTTGTATCAATGCTTGTATTCTGAAGTGTCAGGTCAATTACAATTAGCATTAATTTTTATTTCCGTGCCACTGTCCTATGTTAGTAAATCCAACCTCCCCTTCACCATAAAAAAGTGCCCTCTGTCGCCCTTTGATCTCAAAATAAAGATATACATAACGGTTAGGTTGCACATCCTGGTCAGCGCAGTGGCGTTGGCAAACACCACTCTATTCCGACCTCTTTAATTAACGCCTAGCGTTTTTCACTTAGAAAATGCAAAATTAATGTCTTCGTTGAATCCTTCGTTCAACATCTAAACGGAAGCATCTCGTTAGTGTGGTTAAAAGTGTTCATGTTTATAGACGAACACTCTGGTAATCTCATCTCTCTCAACATACTTAAAGCTCACACTTTAAGGCACAGACTGTAGTATTCACTTTAAAAAGGTCTGAAAACTAGTGCGCCTCATTTTGGATCATAGCAAGAGATCAAAGGTTTTATAGATTTTTGTAAGGG